GACACAAATCCCATGTCTTTGAAACTTGATTGAGACTAAGTGAAGAGAGATGCTGCATCTCTATAGGTTCTTCTTGGGTTAATAGAAGCATGATGATGAAGGTTGATGCTTTCTTGGTGGTGGTTGTTGAGAGTTGTGGAGTTATTAATGTTATCATGAACATGATTAGGAAACTGTTGCTTGGGGATAAAGGAACCTAATCTTCCTTGCTTCTTCTGATTAGAATGATGATGATTAGGTCTCCTTCTTGGCTGAGAACATCTTGGGATAAACACTCCTGTCCCTTTGCTCTCTCTAATTTGGTTGTAATTAATCTGCTCTTGATACATCATGTATGGTGTTGCTGATGTTTGGTAGCTTTCTCTGAACAAACCCTGTTTTTTATTTCAAATTAAAGATCAACATCACAGGATATTCACTAATCAAGAGAGAGAGAGAGAAAGTAGGGTTAAATTTGGACAAACCTGGAAAGAGACAGAAGAGGAAAGTGAAATAGGGTTTTGTTCATCTTCATCTGTGATTAGGAGATTGAGTTGCTTGCTTATGTCTGCAAAGAAGACATCATCATCAAGCTCAAGCTCCATAGCAACTTCCATGGCCATATGTCAATCTTTCAACTGGTCTCTTAATTAGCCTTTTGTTGTTTGTAGAAAGAAGTATTTTTTCGAAAAAAATTGGTTCACAAGGGTGGCATAAATAGGCAAGAGATTTGGGGTTTAAGAGAGAGAGGAGTGCATGTGGGAGAGTGGGGCCAAAGTAAAGATAGAGGAAATATATAATGTAATCTAATCTGGCAAAAGAAAGTCCCTACACACAAATGGATCATGAAGGAAGGTTTTGTGCAATGATGTTATCTCTACTACTTGCAAATCCTATAAAGATTCTTCATAATCTTCTCGGTATCCGAAGAGTCTTTAGAAATTTTAATTTAAATAATAACTCTTTATTATAAAAAAAAAAAATTTGAATCCGAAACACAAAAAAAATAACATTCTTATGTTATCACTAGACCACTACCTATTTGGTTATAAAGATATTATTGAATCAAAACGTCACAGTTCACAACAAGAACAAAACACCCATATCTCTCTCAATTTATATTTTATTCATTACACATTAGTAAAAATTATAACATCTCATCCATAAAAAACCCATCCCTCTCATTCTCATCTCTCCCTTAAATCAGAATTTCCTTTTCTTGTATGGCTTAAAGTTCACAGTTTCAATAATCTCCACTAAAGATGGGACTCTTAACTACCTTATCCAATGACTTTCTTAGTCAATAACATCAGAAAATATAGAAAAAGTATAGTATATGATTGTTAATAATACTCAAATACATATATGGTACGACCATTTATGGTTTTTCTTCACTAAAACATTTGTTTCAAATCTATAGATACGAGATAAATGATAATACTATTTTTCCTTTTGAAAAGAT